CCGCTGAAAACATATAAACTTAACACGGTAACCTACGGCACAGCATCAGCTCCTTATTTAGCCACAAAATGTTTAACTAGTTTAGCCTCAAACGCGTCGAATGAAAATATTAAACGGTCAATTTTACATGACTTCTATGTAGACGATTACCTTAGTGGCGGCGACACCATACTACAGGTGGTGCATCTAAGTACGGAAGTAAGATCTATTTTGTCTTCGGCGCAATTTCATCTTCGTAAATGGAAATCCAATAGCCCGGAGATATTATCCCAGGTCTTAGGTGTTTCAAGTTGTGAAAACAGTTTGAATTTCGCAGAAAATAAGGATACGCCACATAAAACGTTAGGCTTATTTTGGTTGTGTAATTCGGATCATCTTTCTTTCTCTGTTAACATAGACTTAAACAAACAGGTAACGAAACGTATTATGTTGTCTGTAATTAGTCAGATTTTCGACCCTTTAGGTCTTGTAGGTCCTTGTGTTGTTGAAGGCAAAATCTTATTACAAGGTCTTTGGTTGACAAAGTCTGCTTGGGATGAAGAAGTACCAAATAAAATAAAATTACTGTGGACATCCTTCTCAAACTCGCTATCACATCTTAATAATTTAAAGATCCCTCGTTGGGTCTTGTCTAATAACGCATGTTCATATGAACTTCATATTTTTACAGATGCTTCGGAACAGGCGTACGGGTCTTGTGTTTACGTGCGTTCGATAGACGAGCGAAATCAAGTAAAGGTTAGATTATTAATGTCTAAAAATCGAGTAGCACCGATCAAACCTACAACTATTCCGCGGCTAGAGCTTTGTGGGGCATTACTAGGATCTAGACTTTACGTTAAGGTCATAAACGCTCTTCGATTACCGATTACAAGGTGCCGATTTTGGTGCGATTCAACTATTGTTTTACACTGGTTATCTATGCCATCACATTCATTAGAGCCGTTTGTGCGCAACCGCGTTCATGAGATACAAGAGAGTACTGCTGACCACACCTGGAGGTACGTGTCGTCTAGGGACAATCCAGCTGATCTAGTATCTCGAGGCGTGAAGGCTAATAACATTGGGGAATGTTCGTTGTGGTGGTCGGGCCCTGAGTTTCTGGTAAAGTCCGAAAGTGAGTGGCCAAAGATGCCATCTTCCGAATCCACTTGCCATTACAACGCATCACAACTATTAACTCCAGCTGGATTGAATCGCGAGTCAGGTTTTCGATCTTTAATAAATAAATTTTCTAAATTCAATCGTCTTATAAGAGTAATGTCATATGTGCAACGTTTTGTATATAATCTTAAAAACAAAAATAAACAAACCGGTTTACCTACTAAGGATGAATTAGATCAAGCCTTAAAAAGCGTAATGCAGAACGCTCAAATTGATATGTTTCCCGACGAATACGTTTTGTTAAAAAAGGGTAAATCGTTACCTCGTAAGAATAGACTTTCGTCTTTGAGTCCGTTCATAGACGGCGACGGTATCATACGTGGAGGCGGAAGGCTTGAAAACTCATCTTACGAATATAATATAAAACATCCTATTTTGCTGTGTAGTAAACATCACGTTACTAAAATGTTATTTCAGAAATATCACATAGATTTATTGCACGCAGGACCTCAACTGCTCTTAGCAAATATACGTCAATTATATTGGCCCTTAGGGGGCAGAAATCTTTCTAGAATAATCGTAAGAAATTGCTTAAGATGTTTCAGGTATAAAAATACAACTATACAACCTGTCATGGGACAATTACCAATTTCTCGAACCAACTTAGAATTTCCATTTTTACATTGCAGTGTCGACTATGCCGGACCTATACTGATAGCTGACCGGAAAGGACGAGGGTGTAAGCTTATAAAATCGTATGTGTGTATTTTTGTTTGCCTTGCAGTCAAGGCTGTGCATATTGAGCTTGTTACAGATCTGTCTAAGGAAGGCTACATGTCAGCCTTGAACCGTTTCGTGGCTCGTCGGGGCAAACCTCAGTCCATCCTGTCAGACAATGCAACGAACTTTGTCGGAGTTTCCAACGAGTTGGAACAATTTTTGCAGACTTCAAACCTCCCTTCGGAGGTCGCTCAGCAGGGTATTAAATTTTCCTTTGCCCCTCCATATTCTCCACATTTCAACGGCATTGCTGAAGCAGCGGTTCGTTCGACAAAATATCATCTTAGGCGCTTGATGCAAATGACTCACTTTACATATGAGGAACTTACCACTTGTCTAACTCAAATTGAAGCCGTTTTGAATTCCCGTCCACTCACCCCTCTCTCATCTGATCCCACTGACCTATCTGCTCTTACTCCTTCCCATTTCTTAATCGGACGATCTCTTTTATCTGTACCTTATCCACAGGTGACAAACATGAAGGTCGAGCAATTGCAACGTTACGAAAGAATCAATTATATGAAGCAACATTTTTGGAAGCGATTTTCTAAAGAATACGTCTCTTTACTTCAAACTAAGACTAAATGGTTCCATTCAACAGGAAATCTATCTGTGGGGACTCTTGTACTATTGAAGGAAGCAGGTCAACCTCCCCTACTGTGGCCATTGGGACGAGTCACCAAAATTTACCCTGGCGTCGATGGCGATTCAAGAGTGGCAGAACTGAAGATGAAAGGGAGAACTGTTCTGCGAAGCTACAAAAACATCTGTCCGCTTCCCTTGGACTAGAATCTTCTCACCACTCTTACATCATGACTCTTGCCTTACAACCACTTTCGTCTGTTTATCCACAGCCATGGGCCCATCACTCTGCTTCTTTGAACAAAGATGTTCAACCCGGGGAGGATGTTCGCGCCTGAGGTGCGGGCAACACCACTACCGGTGCGAACCGACGTGCGGTGGCACGAAACGTCATTTTGAACTTCCGCTTTCGACCGCCGATGCATACGCGCAACGATCAATTTGTCTATTTGCAACTCTGTATTTATCGCTTATTAAACCATTACAACCAAATACTTGTGTTTGGCCTAAACAGCTATTATTTTTTATCAGGAGCTTTATATCTAATAAGATATGTTTATCATGTAAATTAATGATATTAATTGTTTGCCTACTTCAAATTTATCTGTGGTAAATCTTAAATTTCCGTCTAAAGTGGTACTATATTCATTATGTTAAAACTAAATGTAATTCATGTTATTTGTAATTTTGTTAAATTGTATAGGCGTTATAAACAAATATTACATTTAAAATTTATTTTTAATATACAAAATTATCATCGATTCAAAATAATCAGTTTAATATCAAAAGCGTTAAGTTATTAAGTGGCAAGACGTTGTAGTGCTTAATATTGTTTTGTTCATCGTCTTGAGAGCGCGATGCAATCCAAGTTGCTAAAATCGTTCCCGTTGCCATAACTTAGCGGATGCATTAAGTATTCAGCTTTTGAACCGGTCATAATTTGATCTCAGCATCTTCTTGCATACAACGCGTTTCTAGACAAGTTTCTCATTCGCATAAATTTATGAAGTTATATTCTGTAAAACAACAAACAAGATAAGTTAAATAAAATCATAATACACGTTTACATATCCATTATATATGAAGATGGTTTAACACTTTTTATTTGCGAAATCTTCATCATCCAATCCTCTCCACTCCAACCTCCTTTCTAATGTAGCCGTTTGTGGTCTTAATGATTCGTAAAGAGTTTTAAAGAGTTGTTAATCGATTATATATATATATATATATATCTTATAATATATATAAAATTCTCGTGTCACAATTTTCATGAACTCATGAAATTTTGTGAGCATATTGAGTACATCTGAGAATCGGCCAACATCTATTTTTAATCCCGCGCGGACTGAGTGGCGGGCGACAGCTAGTATTATTATAGAATTTAGCATGAGTAGTAGAAAAATCAAAACAGTTAATCGGGATTATTATTTATTAGTTAAATATTATTTCTTTTATATTATAATTCTTCTAAATGTAACTAATTAATAAACGTATTTACGATGTCTTGTTAATAATATAGTTGTATGTATCACGATGTGCGCCAAATGGAAAACTTCTTAAAGTAATCTACTGATTTGAAATGAAGCCAGATTTGGAATTGTATAACAACAACAAAAAGTTTAAAGATTCACTGCAGTCGCCGATTTATCGAAGTCGAAGATCTTAAATTACTTTACTTAGAACTGTCGTCCCGACTTAAACTTATAGACTAGGTCTAGATAAAAACTAATTGAGTATCGGAGTATTCCTTGTATAATAGTATAGTAATATAGTAGTCGGAGTAGGCATTGTGACTAAATAATATGAAAAACAACATCGAACAAAGAAGTTACATAAAGAAAGAAAATAAAAACTGTAATATAAACACATAAAAGACTTCCTAATATCGTAGCTTCGGAAATAACAATTGATGTACAAGAACTATCATACTCTGCTATCTACCCTGACACGTGTTCCGCTTAATGATACCGGCTTAATGCATCACCCCTTGTGTTATTTGAGGATTAGCTGAAGACCAACTTCTCTCGATGAGTTGTCTCTTGTGTTGTCTAAAAATACCAACATCATTGTACAGGGATTAAAAAAAAAACCTTTATTCGAAGAGAAATGTGTTAATATTGTAGAACATGAATAGCAAAAAGACATTGAAACTGATCTGCCATTACTGAATTCAAAAATTTTTTTTTTCTTTTTTCTTAGATTAAATGGCAGCTAAACTGTTAAAACTCCTTGAACAATTATTGTTTTAATTTCATCGTCTATTTAAGCAGATCCTATTTTGATGAAGTGATTAATTTAATCGTAAAATTAAAGTGTAAGTTTACTAAATATAAATAATTTTATTTATATTATCGTATTTTCCTGTCTAATAGAGTAATGCAGCTCAAGTGTTCGTAGATTGACATGCGATTGGTATTGTGGATGGAGAGTTGCATAGAATTATTGAATCAAAACGTAGATATAAAACCTACTATACATTCAATTTTCTTTTAAGCATTGAATAGTTTTCCGTAGATTCAACACTTCTATATTAGTAAGTTTCTCTTTAATTGTTAAAAATAATAAATATATTATGAACCCATTGCATCTTAAAGAAATTTAATTTCAATTAGAAACTTATTTTTCCTTGTATTTGCGGAGGACGTAACATTTTATATTCTTTGAACTTGTAACACTTATACATAATACTGACTAGTATGGCTGAGCAGAAATTAATTCAAGTAATGGGGGAGGAATTAATTTGTAGACAAAAGCCCTTTAACCTAAGGTGTTTTATATACACGTGTCCTTCGCTTTATAATGTTCAAGTCTCAAGAACTCTCTAGTTGACACCACGGTTTCATAGGTTCAATCGCAATACATAAACATCTCAATAAAAGACATATAAGCGAATGTTATGGAAATCAATGGACTGGTCTTTGTCAAGCGAGTTTCGAGAAACTAGTCTACGCCTTCGTAGCCTTTGCTACGTATTAATCTTAATATCCTGAATGTGAAATGGTGTAAGCGTTATTCATTTTAAGAGTTAAATTAGGAACAATTCAAATATCATCGCCAACGTGTGCTACGAATCTGGCATAAACCGTCGCTTATTTATTTAGTTAAAGTAAAATACAGATGATAAACTATTTTTTATCTTTCTCTTAATAAATTAAAAGTTATAGATATGTATTTTGGTATTATATAAACCGGAGTATATAACTGAAACTTGCCATTTAAAAAAGTTTTGTAATGACGAAGTCTGATTGCTCAACCTACCATTTACTTGTTTTGCAAAGAAATTCTAAAGTTTGCAATTCAACCACAAAGTTCAACTTTTTTCTCCTTCCGTCTTGTCGCCGGAATACTTTTTCCTTGGCAAGTAAAAATAACACTCTTGCTCATTAATTTTCAAGTCGCAGTTTTGCAATACATTTCTTTTTCTTGCTTATTCTTTTTGTTAAAAGTTTTTTGTAAAAGATAATGTTTAAGTAGAAAATTAAGAGGGTAATAAAAAACTTTGGCTTTTTGTCTTTGAAATAATAAAGTCTGATCGCCATCGCTACACTTCTCTTAAAGAGTCAACATAGTAAAAAAAAATAAGTCTATGGTATTCATTGGATTGCATTGAATGACACACATGTAGAAGTACTTAGTTCTTTGTAATATTTTTATACATAACTAACGGTTTCCCGCGGCTTCGTCACCGCGAAATTAAAAATAAAGTAGTCTATAATATTCCTTAGCTTCCTTCCCTTCAAAATTTAAACAATATCGGAGATTACCTCGAACAAACGCGACCTTACGGACAGGCAGACAAAAAATTACAAAAATGGTTTATCGTTTTCAATAATCCAAATACATCATGTTTTATATTTCTATGTTACATATAAACACTCCAATTTTATTATATTTAATTAATAATTAATAGATATCGATTCAATTAAATATTGTTTGAGTCGTGCACGCCGCATGTTTCACTTAGGAGTTTGCTGGTAAATGATTTCCATAGTCGATGCTCAGTCAATGCTTCGTCGCTATAATGTATTCCGCCTTTGAACCAGCAATAATTTAATTGGATCTCCTCCGTGTATGGTCGCAATAGCTTATCCGAGTTTCGAGCTTGTCCACTTTCAATGGAGGAAGTTTGCCAACTAATATACTGAGAGTTTGGTCGCGTAAACGTTTATGTTGTCAGAAATCATGCACTAATGTGGTTATATGTAATACCGAGTATACCAAGACTTATTTAAGATAAGATAAATTTTATTACTTTTATAGCATAGTCCTTAAACTTAATGGTATTCGTCATAAATAAATTCCATTTGGTAAGGAATTTACGTTTGCTAAGTAATCAAATTAAATTAAAAAAAAATAGCTGTAACCTGCGATTCAGTCCGCGCGGAGATAAAAAAACATAATTAGTAGGCTATGTTTTTTCCAGACTATGTCCTATATGTATGCTCAAACGAACATATATCCATCCAAACATATGTATTTACAATATGAGTAAGATTTAAGTAGCGATCGCGTCAAAATGGTCGCAGGGTCACTTATTTAACGTTGACATGATATAGAAACATCTTATTTCTTTCTTTTCTTTATTTTCTTCACGTTAGATTGTATAAGGTAATCTGCAATTTATTCTTAACTAACATGTCTTTACTATTGAAATATCTCTATTTAAGCCACGCTATAAATACATTATGTTTTGTTACTCAATGTTTCCACATTATTAAAAGCAGCTATTTGTTACAACTGGTAAAAGGATATTTAGAACTGTTTGCCAACTATTGTTTCGTAAAGTTATTCTTATTTGAAATTGCGCCAGGTTTTCGATTGGTTAGCAAATAAATGGATTTTAAATATATTGTAGACATTGGAGGTAAACTATTGGAAAGATATTAAATGTACGATATTTATAATAAACTAACTGTCGCCCGCAACTGCGTTCATGCGGAATTATACAAAAACCTAATTAGCACTCAATGTGTTTCTACAGACAATGCGCTACATTTATGCCAAATTTCAAAGATATTTATCCAGCCGTTCTGGAGATATCCTCAAACAAATAGGCATCAATCCATCCTTCTATTAGAAGCGGGTCCAATCCATCTATTCCTCCTATATTAGAGGATCGTCTCAGATACTTGGTGACCAAGATCAGTCTGAAAAGACTGCAACGACGAAGAAGAGGAATTAGTAAAATTATAATCATAGTTGTGCCATACTATTTATTTACCAAGAAATAATGCCGTGCTTTTATCGAATGAATTGCTGAAGTTTACTTAAGCATATGTTAGAAAAGGTAATAATTAGTTTTCGCAATACAATTATTGTAATAAAATAATCCAATAATTGTTAATTAGGAATAAAATCACTATTGTTACAGTTCTATAAAGTCAAACAAAGCAACAATTTTATGACATTAATTAGAAAACTTTCCGGTGACAATAAAAAGAAACAGCCAAGATAATTTACACGAATCCGTTAATTTCTTTTATTCAGAATACATTCTTTAATTGCCATAAAACAAAAAAAAGAAACATTGTCATTTCTATTTCATAACCTCAAAAATCGTATATTACGAATCGTGTTTTCTTTTCTGTTTTATCAATGTCGACTATGTTAAAACTATATCTTTGAGTAAAGTCTATTCTATATATTGAAAAATTAGCTGTCGCCCGCGACTCCGTCCGTGCGGTATTAAAAAACTTAGTTACATATGTGTTCTTTCAGACTATGCTCGATATGTATGCCTAACTTCATCGTGATCCGTTGAGCCATTTTGGAAATACGGTCCAACAATCATCCATCCATTTAAGCAATCGCACTTATAAGTAAGATTAATATGTTATTTAACTTAATGTTATGACCCATTCTAATTTATTTATTTAAATAATTAGGCAGCTTATTCTGGAATGTTTAAAGGGATGAGATTTAAATCCTCTTCAATATATGATATTTAATAATATTTAACAATTCCGTTTGATAAATTATTTTAAACGTAAAATGGGAAAATCTAAGTGATTTAGTTGGCACCGGAAATTTACAGTGGGACTTTCACAGTTCAGAAGCATATTGAATCGGAAATTCATTTCGAAATACGTATTAGTGCTCAGCGTGAATACGTACAAAATTCACAGCGAGTACGAGTGAGTTTAAAATAGGGATTTACAAAAAAAAACCTTTTTATTTATATTTTAAACTTAGTAAATTATTATGAATAAAATAGTTGTAAATATTGTATTATATAAAAGTCTACTAAGGTCAGTAGATAAAGGCTTTATATTATATTATAAAATATACTATCACAGTTTTTAATTAACTTCCAAGTTCTATTTTTTTAAATACGTTAATTACCATTGAAAAAAATTGTGCGAAACCTGGAAGGTGACAAAAGCTACAAAGCAGCGGGTCCAAGTCTTCATCAATCGCTGTCTCCGACAGATCCTAGGGATCTTCTGGCCAGATACAATCTGCAACGAAGAACTCCTGGCACGTAGTAGAGAGCAGCCGATTGGTCAGCAAATTAAACGCCGCAAGTGGTCATGGTGGATTCCCAGGGAGGCCCTGGAGTGGCTCCCGCTAAGAACAAGAAGACGTGGCCGTCCTAAACAAACTTGGCGGCGATCAATAGCTGCCGAAATGAAGGCGATTGGGCTGACATGGCCCGAGACCAAGCGCAGATTCCAGGATAGAGCGAACTGGCGGCGCACTGTGGACGCCCTCTGCCCCACTGCGGGGACATAGGACTTAGACTTAACTAACAAGGACAAAATTTTAACATGAAGTTCGATATAAAATCTACATTCTGTATGCAAATTGGATCAAAATAAAACTTGTAATGTTAAGAAACTGAAATCTACATAACGACATCAGTAAAAGGATAATCCCTTGTAAGGGTCATCCCTCCGGTGCCACTGACAGACAAATAAAAATGGCTAAACGGACCCGTTCCTTCGTCAGCGTATTTGCTCACCCCAGAGGGTATTTGCTTCTTTCTCAACCGTTAAACCAACACCCGAGGGTAAGAATCGAAGCAGACATCTTTGAAAAATTTATTGTCAAACAAGTGCCGATTGCATAAGTAAATAAATGAATTTGTTTAAATTAATGTAACTAAAAGAGCATCGGTGGCTCAGGAGTTTAAGCACTTGACTAGTGATCTACAGGTCTTAGGTGCGAATCCCGCCATGTATTTTTCGATTAACATATGTACATTTATCCGACGCTTATCGTGATGCAACCTGCACATATCTGAGAAGAAGTTCAGAGATATGTGTGAAGTCAACCAACCCGCATTGGGCCAGCGTGGTTGACTATGGCCTAGTCACTTCTAACTTAGGGTAGGCTCCGAGCCCCTCAGGGGGAACATATAGTGAGCTGATGATTCCGTATTGTCGAATTAAGAATTTTCAAAGCTTTCCTCTGTTTTTAAATAAAAATTGTATTATAAATTTAATTGTATGTATGTTTGAAGTCGAAAGGAAAATCTTAAAGTTATACCCGAAAAAGATACCTATGACTACTCCTTGTCATCACAAAAATATTATTATTTAATTACTAAATGAAGTAAAGTGAAGTAACAGCTTTAATACTTGCTCTTTCTTTCAGTAAGCATTTTATGTTCTAAATTCTTCGTGAACTATATAGATTTGATTATTTTTCCCCTAAACAATCGAGTATTCCCGTTCAGTTGACATATCGACAGGCCTTTATGCCCGATTTTGCATGCTGAGCACCAAATTTGTCGATCTAACTGACATCTAAAACGATTTCGAGTATTCTAGTTATTCGAATACGATGAGGCACTTAAAATCATTCTTTATGGATTGCTAGCTGTCGGCCGCAACTCCGTCCGCGTAGAATTAAAAAAAAAACTTAATTAGTAAGTTCATTAATGTGTTCTTCAAGGCTATGTTCTACATTTCTGTTTATTTCCATAGAGATTCATTCAGCCGTTCTGGAGATACCTTCAAACAAACATCCAAACATTCATTTACACGTACCATCCATCCATCTAAACATTCATATTCATAACATTAGTGAGATTGCTAAGATTTTTCAATTACTTTTAGTTTATATAGTAGCGAAGTAAGAAAAAAAATATTGCTTGTTTTCAAAATCTTAGTTACTGGTAAACTTATACTTAATTTTCATCAAATGATGATTAAATTTAATGAAACAAGAACCTAAATAGATTGTTAATTTTAGCCGGACTTAGTTGAAATTTGAAACAGCCTCAAGTGTCCGCAAAAAGCGCAAGAAGAGAACTTTCGTAACGTCTGTTTAATGGGAATGCGACGCGACTCCGTCGACAAAATAATTTCACCAATTAAGCGAACAATGTTACGGCAAAACAGATGATAAAACCCAAGGAATTATAATTTCTCATTTTCATTGCTTTTATTACAATGTTTTTTTTTGTATTTTTACGTTTAAACCACAAAGGAAAGTTGTTATAATTTCTACAATTATTTTTGTCTGTATTCATTTAGCCACTTTAGATATCGCCTACTAATATTTTTATTTATCTGTGGTATGGTGTGGGTTTTATAGTGCTTGTAAGATATATCAGAAAATTCTTATTAATCTACTTGAGACAACTTATTATTTATTCAAGGCAGTACTGAGTACTAAGGTCAATGAAATATAATAGTTAGTCCTCCATGAACTGGTTATTATTGACTATTGATACTGGTAGATTTTTTTTATATCATAAGGTGGCAAATGAGCGATCGGCCACCTGAAATCGCTGAAATAGCGAAGTGACCGTTGCCCATAGACATACGCAATTGCATATGCGTTGCCTACCTTTAATCGACGGAGGAGAGGTTGCACAGAAAGAAAACATTTCTATGCATCCTCTCATCCGGAAGGTCCACTTCCCATCCTTTCCTTATAAGAAAAAGAGTGGGAAGGGAAAGATGACTAAATTAGGCCCCCGGGACGCAATATACTTACTTACTTTACTAACAATATACGGGATACTTGGCGAACACAAAAAAAAAGAAAAGAAAATGAAATTACATCGAGATATCTCATTACGTCTTCAATTAAAGCCGTTCAAGCCTTCATTTAAAACAAAATGAACCTACATCAATCACGACACGCACGCAAGCTGATATTTAATGAGATTATTTCCTAATATCGAAAGACAATTTCCCGACTAAATACAACCCGGAGGCGCGACTTGATCGATCCATCATCGAGTCTGAGAAGCAGACAGTTTAATTTTTTTAAAGGATATTAAAAAAATTAACATAATTCTAAAAAATCATTACAAAATAAAAGCAAATTGCTTTCTTACAAAATTTTTATTCCGCTATTCTGTGCAGTTCAATAGAAGTCAAATATTTGCTTGATTTCTCTTATAACGATGGACCGATGACCTGGTCAAGGTTGCGGGAGTGCACTGGATGCGGGCGGCATAGGACCGGGCATTGTGGCAATCGATGGGGGAGGCCTACGTCCAGCAATGGACAAGTTTAGGCTGAGTATGATGATGATGATTTGCTTGGATTGTGTTCGGATAATTTCCGACTCCATTTCCTAAGAATTGCCGCTATAAAAAGAATGGACTCCGGAAATGGAAATAGACTAAACTCGAGTGAAGTGTGATATTTCAAGAATTCGCGACGTTTAACTACTTTTTGTTACACGAAAGAGAAAGGAGATATGAAGTGGTTGGAGGGAAAAAGGCAAAAAATATAAGAAATGGATAGAAAGATAGAGTAACTATGTTCATTCTACATCTGTCTCTAATCTATATAATAACCAACGCTCCTCTTGAACGAGGAAAGGAAGCCTCTGACGATTATTTAATGGGAATCCGACGCGACTGTCGACTCCCGCGTTCCCGTAATTTTGGCAATTACGTAGGCACCGGTACGCAGAGCAGACGCAGATGCAAACATAAGCAATATTTATTGAATTTTTAAATCGGATTTTATTCCTTCAAACTTTTCTCTTATAACATTTTGTGTAGCGCTTTTAATATGATACGACGATCACTTCCTTTCAAAACAAATTAAATAATTTGAGGGCTATTTTGAAAAAATTATATTCTCTTAGTTATTTGTCATTTTTTCTAGCGGAGAATGAAAATGAAATATGTATCATCTCCGTTTATTAATAACAAATAATACCTATTACGTCTCCTAAGATTATTATCAGCAAAATTTAAATTACATCGTTATAAATATTGTCATAGCCCATTCTCTGAGCTAACATTAATTTAATCTTCGTCTTGTAAACACTGAGACTTGGCTAAGTCTTAAGTTTGTAGGACTTCCAATGCAACTAACTTTGTCGCTCGTGTGTTTTAGTCATGAAAACATTTAAACTATGTTCTACCCCATCTTTGGTACATTGATCATGTTAGGAAACTGAAAAGCGAATGCAAATACATAATGTAATTATACGATTACTACTAATGATATTTTTGTCTTTTATTCGATGATCCAGTGAAGCGCTTTTAATTTCGATGGCTCCTACGTAAATATTCGTAACAGTCAATTTGTTGTTTACATATTTTTTTTATATTCCAAAAAAATGTAACGAAATACCATTATCTTTGTTATTTTTGAAAAGTAAATTAAGCTGTTGCATTCGCTGTAATAGTAATTGTGGGCTATTTTGTAATTTTGAAAAATTCTTTTTTTTTTTGTTGGATAGTCCATTTATAGAGGAAGGGTTTAGGCTATATAACATTACGCTGCGACCAATACTTTTTTTTTACTTCCGCGCGGAGGGAGTCGCGGGCGACAGCTAATTTCTATTTATTATAACATTGATGAATTACCAAATTAAATGTTTATTAAACTAGTAGTTGTTTCCTTATAATATGTAGTAAAAAGAATGTTAGATTTTGGATCAAATTTTAGACCCTTGCTTGTAGGCCCTCGAGGGTGGAGCCATCGATTATTGTAATTAAGTTACACACCCATGTTGCCCACGTGCCAACCTACCGCATCAATCTTAAGGAAGCAATTTAAGGCTTGTATATTATTTAATATTTAATACATTGATTTTAAAGCGTCGCAGAGTTTGTTGGATGTTTCATTATGTATAAAAAATACTAAAATGTAATTCTGTAGGAAATAACACAAATAATAAAAAGAGTTGATTATTTGAATTGAATAAGCTCCGAAACTACTGAATTGATAAAAAAAAATACACTGTTGGATAGCTACATTATCCCTTATAAAGATAAGTTTTTTTTTTTTAAATTAAAGACTTGTTTTTTTTTAATTAAAATTACTGGCAACTGCCAGTATCATTGTTTAATTTGGATCTACCTAAGTCTTTAGTTATTTGATGTTTTTTTTTATCTCACCACATTATTCTTTGGCTCCAGTAACATAATGCGGGTAGAAATATAGCACCCATTTAAGTACTTAAGCCATGTTGATTACTAGTGTGTTAAGATACATTTCCATTGGTAACAAATTAAAGTTAACTTACAAGGTTTATGACTATTCTTGTTAATTCCAAATTTGACAAATTTGAGTTAGTTAACTTCGCTGTCTGCATCTTTATAGTTTGACTTGACTAAATGACTTATGTCGATAATGATTTAATGAAATTATTAGTAAACATTTAATAAACACAGTTAATTTTTTTGATTAATTTTTTGTACTACGTCACTTTGGTACATTTTTAAACTGTAACAACGTTATTTTAAAATCGTTTCCAAAGCCCCCAGAAGCTCGGGTAGTACATCTAACCTGATCTCCATCGATTGCCAT